AAAACCTGCACTAATATTGACACAATTGTTTCCAATTGACACTTGTCACTTTTGTTGCACATAATTATTGTCACTTTATTGTACATATATCCTGCATTTAACATGTTTGCACATTTCCTCCCTTTGCACAATCTGAGTGTCTCTATCCATGCCAAATGTGACATGTAAATATCTCCTCTGTGAGATAAATAAAGCTTATCTTATCTTATCTTATCTGATAGAGGAGATTTCAAATACATTATCAATCCGTATTGATCCAACACAAAAAGATTGTCGGAATGCGCTGATAAAGCATGATACAGTGTGCCTCTGTGGGTTCTGGGCCGCCTCGTCTCAAATGAGATATTTGTGCATGAGCTCAGTGTTTAGTGGGTGTTTGTGTTGAACCCTTTTGCCACAGACGCATTACAGTTATGAGTGTGGGTGGACTTTTAAAGCTTAACGTACTGTTCAGGCCTTGATTCATTTGACATTTTAATTTATTTTTCTGTAACTATATGTTTGGTACAGAAATATATATATTTCTTTATCATAATAACGACTATGAAGTACTCCTTAAAACTCTTTGTACCTCATTTCCGAACACGTTATAATTTAACAAAATCCAGCTTGTATTTTTGGGCTCTGTCACATCTTCTGATCAGCATTTTTAACAAGAAAGTGACTAAAAGAGAACCACCCTCTCCCAGCTCTTTGCCCAAAGCATCAAATAGTGACTTTTTGGGCACTGTCTGTCAAATTTGGAAAAAATAAAATGTTTTCTGCTATGATAGAGAGCTCTTTGTGGTTATGTATGAAAAAAAGTTATATGTATAGTTTGAGGCGACAGTAGCTCAGTTGGTAGAGCATTGGCCTTTGAGCCAGGAGGTCGTGGGTTCGAGTCCATCTCAAGACTTTCTCCACCGACTCCCACTGTCTGCTGTCGTTGTGTCCTTGGGCAAGACACTTAACCTCTGGGAACAGCAGGTGCCACAGTGGGGCGGCGGCGGCAAGACACTTAACCCCCATTGCCTAGAATGAGTCTGGTGTGTGTGTGAGTGGTTGGTGGTGGTGGGAGGGGCTGATGTCAGTGTGCCCCAGGGCAGCTGTGGCTACAGTAGTAGTTTATCACCACCGTGTTTGGAGTGAATGAATAATGACACATGTGAAGCGTCTTTGAGTGTCCAAAAAAGCGCTGTATAAAACCATTGCATTATTATTATTATACCCTACACTGAATTGTTCCCTGGTCTATACAAAGAGTGTATTTGCAGAAACTATGTAGTGTCAGTAGGTTAAATAATAGGCTAATAATATAATTCTCAAACCGCTGTTGAGACATACTTTGGCGTCACAGATACATACAGATCTCTTTCAGGCTGAAAACCATCTGAACATTTTAATATATTTGAGTGTTTTCCAGTGCAGCATGTTTTCCCCTTGAGACGACCTGCTCTTTGCTCCTGTTTTTGCCTTTCTGCCTGTGCTGTATTTACACATAAATAAACAGTAATTTAAACTTTCCATTCATTTGAAACAGCAAATAAAATCTTAGCACAGTTGTCAGATGTGCCATAACGCATTGACAGAACAGTGCTTTAAGTCATGGAGAGACTGCTTTTTTCTTTTTTTGGGGAGAACGTGGAAGAAACGAATAAGTGTTTCTTTCAAAGTCAACCCCAAAAACAAACCGACCAATAGAAAGCCAAGGCGGGTCGTCTCCGTGGCAACAGTCGACTGTACATAGCTGCGCAGTGTTTGTCCTTGTGAGACAGTAATATGACGCTGCAAGCTGTTGTTGTGTGTCTGTTGACAAGCACGTTTACTTAAAGCTGAGTCTGTCCACATGGTGCCGTCGGAGCCGCAATCTGTCGGAGCAGCAGCAGGGAGGATTTTGGAGAAAAACTCAAGAAACTATTAGTGCGACGAGTGGTGTTTCCATGACCACAGCACTTTGGTCGCAGACAAAGTGCTGTGTTGTAGAGAGCTGGGCGACCTGCGAGAAACAATATTAAACACACTTACTGATTTGTTTTTGACATTGAATACATACTTGCACATGGACAGGGGTGAATACTTAGCTAAGGACTATTTAGTTTGTAATTTCACTTTTTATGATTTAAAACGTGGTTCAGAGGAAGCTTTTGATGTGGCATCTGTTCAGGACGCCTCTCTGGGGAGGTGTTCTGGGCACGTCCCACCGGGAGCAGGCCTCGGGGAAGACCCATAGGACACGCTGGTGGGACTCTATCCCCCTGGACGAGCTGGAGGTAGTGTGTGTGGATAGGGAAGTCTGGGCATCTCTGCTTAGACTGCAGCCCCCGCGACCCGGTAACGGATAAAGCAGAAGAAAAGGGCTGGATGGATAATGTGAAATATTATGGTGAAACTAGTATCAAGGGTAAATAATGCCATCAGTGTGTTCTATCCGTACGCTACCACCAAGGCTGGAATTATTATTATTTTCTTTCAAATGTGTAAATTTCTGGCTGCAAAGACATGTGATTGTAAAGATTATAATTACACTTGAGAAACTGAGAAAACTAATTTTTGGCGATAGCAAAATGCAGAGAGATGAAGGCACGTCCTGTCGGGCCCTGGCCCTGGCGCTGCTTAGGTCTTCAGTCCCATCTTTGGTTATACTTATGTAAATACCAGTGGGGGAGGGTCCCAGCTCAAAAGTGGCCAAAATGACGTGCGCTGACATGCTGCAATACCACCCCGGGCCTGTGGGGGTGGACCCAGAAGTAGAATTAGCCAATGCTAACATATAGCATTGGCAGACCTCTCAAAAACGTCCTTACAGGATGGACCAAAAGTTGGCTCTTGGCCCAAAGCTCCGTTCCACATGTGTGTCAATGCTGAGGGGGGTGTTTTGGACCACTCTAGTTTACTTGTTGTGAATTTTTTAAGTCTCTCGTTCAAATGAATAGAGTTGCGCCGGCTGACGCATGTGCAGATGCGTTTTTTCACAATTTTCTTGTGGGCGGGACCACTCACGGCCATTTTGGATTTCTCCAGTAGAGCACATTTTTTGGCCCATTAGTTAGAACGGTGGAGATAGGCGTGACTCTGTCCATTAATATATACAGTCTATGGTAAATACACACGATTGATAAAAGTTGAGGTTGCGATGAATCTGACACATTTTTGCTCAGTTCTTATTCTCAGTGTATTATGTTTCCATTGCTTAATATTTAATGTTTTCTGTTCCGGGTTGTTACACCAGTATCAAACAAAGTCATAGTCATCGTTCATTCTCTGCTTCAGGTTACACCTTGACCACTTCAACATTACAAGATTACATTTGCATCACAGATTGTTATTTCAGGATTAGACACTTAAACCATATGGTACAGTATCAAAGTATAATTGATGTATATGGTTAAACACAGCAGAAATATATCATGATGTTGTGCATGTGTGTTTTTGTTTGTTTGATTGGGGACAGTACACATTAATCATCATCTCCGTAAAAGATGTAAAATACCATCAGATTACAATAATAGTGAGTTAAAACCTTACAATTTAAAACAGGTCAATTAAAATTAAAATTAAAACACAATATCAAACTACAAATCATGTAGTTTGATTGTCCAATAACTATGTTTTTTTACATGTGTTTGAAAGTCCTGAGTGTGGTGCTGTTTCGTGTATGGACTGGTTTTGTGTTTCGCTGAACGACACGCACTAATAAAGATGATTGGCTAAAGGAACCTTTTCTCAGTGGGTTAACAAGATTATTAGAGGAAGCAGAGCACAGCACAGGTGTTTAGTGGGAGGATTCAGAGATTTCTCAGTCTTAGCTCCATATTACAGGGACGCACCGATTCCGATGCGGGTATAAGGGTATTGGGTCAATGCCATACGACCTCGTTCTGGAAACCGTTACCATCCATCCATCCATCCATTTTCTACCCTTTAATCCATTTCTGGGTCAGGGGGGTGGCAGTCAGAGATGCCACCCAAGTCTCATAGCACCAGCCCCTCACTGACCCTCTGCAGGTGGTGAGTCCACAGGAGGACGGCTGCTCTCTGAGTGTGAGCATAGCCTTGATCTTTCAGTGGGGGCTTTGGGCAAAGTGGGGTTAGGTGTCTTGCCCAAGGACACAACGACAGCAGTCATCAGTGGGAGTCGGTGGAGAAGGTGCAGAGGTGGGAATTGAACCCACAACCTTCTGGGCTTTAGGCCAATGCTCTACCAACTGAGCTACTGTCGCCCCGTTACCTACATTTTTAATTTACATTAGCGTCACGACATACATAGTGATCTCCGAAAGTTGGCAGCGAGAAAAATCAAGCTATTTGCAAGATAGCGGCAAGTGGACAAGATGATGCCTGTATGACAGGTTTTTTTGGAATAATTGTTAAAACATTTTATTTTTGGTGAAATGAGAAATAACACATTTAAAATGTCAGTTTTATGAATTCCCAGGGAGAACACAATGCACTCGTAACAATGTTCAGTATCAGCTTGTTCTCGAATTAAGGTACTCGTATCCATCCATCCATCTTCTTCCCCTTTATCCATTTCTGGGTCGGGGTGGCAGTCAGAGCTGCACCCAGTCCACATGGCACCAGCCCCTCACTGATCCTCCTGCAGGTGCTGAGTCCACAGGAGTCTTGATCTTTCAGTGGGGGCTTCAGGCAAAGTGGGGTTGCCAAGGACACAACGACAGCAGTCATCAGTGGGAGTCGTGAAGTTGGTCTTATGGTGGCCTTGAACCCACGACCTTCAGGCTCAAAGGCCAATTCTCTACCAACTGAGCCTCTGTCGCCCCAATACTTGTTAATAATTTAATTGTCAACAGATTTAAGTGCACTTTAAATTGTGACCTTCTTTTATGATGCTTGTTTTTTTAAAGCCAAAGAAGTTATTGGTCTTGTACAAACTGAATGTGCAGCTTTTGAACAGGAACAAACTGTGGTGACACACTCTTAACGTATTTTAAAATGTTTGTTTATTATGCAAATGCCACGTTACACTTCTATGATTATAACTTTTCCAAAATATGTTGCAGAGTTTTGCAGAGAACACCATGAATGAGCTCCTGGGCTGGTACGGCTACGACAAAGTGGAGCTGAGAGACTCCGAGCAGCTGGACATCGAGACGCCGCAACACATCTCCGTGCTCAAAGGTACAATGTCATCAAGTACTCTACATTACATTTACACATGAGGGTTGAGACTTTAAAATCCTATGGCAGAGCTCATATTTGGACATACATCACAAAAAATGGGACTAAATATGAAACTAGAGCAGGACCACAGCTGTAAAAGGTGAAAGCAGGTATCTGTAAGTTTCCATGAGGAGATGGTAGTGATGGCAAAAAGATTCACCACATTTTTATAACTCTACAACTATATCTGTCTGTCATCAATCAACCGAAATTTGTAAATAATTATCACAAAATTGCACAGAATCGGGTTAGTAATTGTTGAATTGACCCATCATTTTGATTGCTCCACATATATCTCCACATCCTGCTGTTTGTCTCGATGGTGATGCCAACTATAATCTGCGCTGTACTACTCCCACAGGAAACAACAGGACATAACATTCACCTTTCACAGCTTGAAACCTTGTTAGTCTTTTTTATTTGTCACTAATACACTCAAATTGAAAAGCTGACTGTGCCATTCTTCCCCCTGGTTCCCCTGGTTCCCCCTGGTTACCCCTGGTTCCCCTGGTTCCCCTGGTTACCCTGGTTCCCCTGGTTACCCTGGTTCCCCTGGTTCCCCTGGTTCCCCTGGTTCCCCCTGGTTACCCCTGGTTCCCCTGGTTACCCTGGTTACCCCTGGTTCCCCTGGTTCCCCTGGTTACCCTGGTTCCCCCTGGTTCCCCCTGGTTCCCCTGGTTCCCCCTGGTTCCCCTGGTTCCCCCTGGTTCCCCCTGGTTCCCCTGACCACCGCCATTATACACTTCATACACTTTTCATTCACCCCAAACGCCGTGGGCGGCACGGTGGCTGAGTGGATAGCACTCTCGCCTCTCAGCAAGAAGGTCCTGGGTTCGAATCCCGGTCGGACCAGGGCCTTTCTGAGTGGAGTTTCTCCCCGTGTCTGCGTAGGTACTCCGGTTTCCCCTACCACTAAAAATATGTACAATAGTTCTGGCATGCGCCTCCTGTTCGGCGACCCCGCTCCCATCTCTGTGCGGAGTGAGAGACAAGTGCCCAAAAATAACAATTGTAAACCGCTTTGTGACTCTGGTCTGTGAAAGGCGGTATATAAATAAAGATTACTTACTTACTTACAAACACAGTGGTGATAAACTACTTCTGTAGCCACAGCTGCCCTGGGGCACACTGACAGGTGCGAGGCAACCAGTATGTTCCATCAGCCCCTCCCACCACCACCAACCATTCACACACACACCAGACTCATTCTAGGCAATGGGGGTGAAGTGTCTTGCCTAAGGACACAACCACAGTTTGGCACTTTACAGCCACAGCCGCCCCACTGTGGCACCTGCTGTTCCCAGAGGTTAAGTGTCTTGCCCAAGGACACAACAACAGCAGACATCAGTGGGAGTCGGTGGAGAAAGTCTTGTGGTGGACTCGAACCCACAACTTTCACTCTCAAAGGCCAATGCGCTATGTAATAGATATATCATTGTTTTTTTGAAAATGTTTGCTAAAAAAATCTCCTCTCTACAGATATACAGTAACTCCGAGTGAAGTCACAGGCCTAACACCCACATTTACATGAACCCAAACACAAAGCACCAGAACAATTGAGAATGCAGCTTTAACGATAAATATTGTATTTTCTGAATGAAAAAAGTCCTCAAAAAGTCACATAGGTAACCGGGGGCTGACATCCATGAATACAGCAGGTGTGTTATAGTGTTTTGTATTTCATTCATATCTGTTGTTTTTCCCCGTCTTACATCGCTTCTCTTTGGATTTTCATTTAATTTGCCACAATTTGTTTTCATCCAGAAAACTCATTGCCAAAACTCGCTTCTTCCTCTGAGGGCGGTGGTGAATGTTCTCCGGATGGGGCCAACAGTTCGCACTCTACGCCTGCCAACAGAAACGGAGTCACCGAGAGCTCCACCGCAGCCTTCTCCTCCGCCCCAGGCCCCAAGGAGCACGGCGGCCTGCCCATCATCGTGCCCATGGTGCCCCCGCCGCTCATCAAGCCACCCACAGGTACAGGCAGCTGGGAAAGCACAGATATTATACAACAAAGAGAAACACGCAAGGTCGCTTTTACCAGACGCACAACCAAGTCCCAGGGTATCGTTTTGCTTGCTTTGGAATGTGCACACTATAGTATTCCTTACATAGAGCACGAATCTGGAGTCAAGTTTAATAAAAGTCTGACCAGCTAGACCCACGCGATTTGACATTAAAGTGACAGCCTGTAACTCTAAATGAATTACAAATTTGAAGAATTGTATTAAATTGACCTCTTGGCCTTAAATGTTGATATAAAATAAGTCATTTTATTAATTCTAATATTACAGGTAAGTCCCGCCTTCCCTTCTTTTAGCTATAGCTCAGAATCCACGGTGCCGTCAACGTTAACCAATCGAGTCATGCCAAGGGCTGTCAATCATCGGCGCTCATGCTCGTAGCTGCACATTGTCCATCTATGTACAGTCTATGTTTTTGATTTCTGCCACAAACTGCAGATCTCATGGGCCTGTTTCTGTGGTATGTGATTGGGCAGCCGACGAATGAATCAGAGATAATCAAATATGCGTAAATGGACCAGAGTTTACGGACGGCTAAGGCCTGGCGAGAACAATCCCATAATGCAGCTTGTTGAGTCCAGCAATGGTCAATAGTGTTATCGTTATGTTAATCTTTTAATTAGGTTTGAACTATTACATTCTCATTAGATTCCCACTTTTGCAACATGAAAATAAACACAAACACACTTATTTTTTATGGTGCCAAACCCAAGACCTCCCCCCTGGACTGCCGCCTTATCGTGGTGGGGGAGTTTGAGTACTCTGATGATCCTGTCTTGGGAGGAGGCCGCGGGGAAGACCCAGGACACTCTGGAGGGACTATGTCTCTCAGCTGGCCAGGGAACGTCTTGGGGTGTGCGCCCGGACGAGCTGGAGGAAGTGTGTGTGGAAAGGGAAGTCTGGGCGTCTCTGCTCAGACTGCTGCCCCCGCGACCCGGCAACGGATGAAGCTGTTGGAATGGAGCATTGCAATGGAGCATTGCATTGTGGGTTATCGCAAATGGATGTTTTTTGTGTATTACCTAAACCAGGGCTCTCCAACCTGTGACTCGGGAGCTACCAATAGCTCGCTGCCCTCTTACAGGTAGCTCCCCAAAGGACAAAGAATTGAACACATGATCCTGAATGAGTATATTTTGAGTCCATATCTATTTTAAGTATAAATATAGGGGTGTTCTCCATATGTGTTGTCTCTTGTCATAATTTTTACATAGATTTTTGTTACGACTGTAAAAAGGAGTTGCTCTCTGCCTCTTCTGTTGTGTAAAAGTTTCTCTCCGATTGAAAAACTGTAGTGTGACTGTTTGAATGGAAACAGGTCAAGGCTCATCTCATGGAATCATTCTTCCACATCATAAAAAATGTAGAGCTTAGAAATGTGTCAACACAATAATATTTTATATCAGTAGCTTTATCAAGGCTGCGCAGGTCACTTCTTTCATTGAGAATAGAGTTTATTTTCCAATCAAACCCGGAGCATTGAGTGAATGTTTGCTTTTATAACATACTTTCACTACATATTAGACTTTTTAACTCTTCAAGCAGCTGCCAATCCTATACCTGAATCAGAAGTTCAACTAAATAACACTTTGAAATGTTGACAATAGATGAATTAATCAAAAGTAAATTAGTTTTCACTATGAATGTTACTGCCTTCCAACACTTGTGTTTGTACAGCTGTGACTAAGTAACTGAATTGCTAAGTTTGGTTGTCAATAGGATCAAAATAAGGTTATTAAAAAAGAAAGAATTACATTTAATGATGACTGGACATGAAATACATAAGAATTGCATGTCCAGTCATCCTTAAAGGCCCTAATCCATGTGGGCACAGAACTAAAAAGGTCTCGTTATCATTATCAAATCATTAACAACAAAATTAGAAATAAAACCAGGATTTCTATCTTTGTGAAAAAGGTGTTGGTTATAGATTTGTTGTTGACATAATTCTTGTCTATTCAGCTGTTATGGTCCCAGCTGGATTCGTCTGCATATCTGGCAACCTGAGTCACGGGAGCATGAAAACTCACATGTTAAAAAGCACTATGTCCCCCATTGTCAACCCTGGTTTAGTCCTGGTTTAGTCCTGGTTTAGTCCTGGTTTAGTCCTGGTTTAGTCCTGGTGAAGCTCTTGTTTTGGCTGTTTACGAGTATTTTCAGTCTGCTCGCTCAGTCCGCAAATGTCCCCGTGACCACTTTGCGGCTCTCTGATTGGTTGCTGCACAAACGTCCGGAAGAAAGGTTGAGCAAAATCCATCTCCTGCTTTCCACCCCTTCGACTTCCCAGCGCGGCCCGTGCGTGCATTCTGAGACGTTCGTGCGTTTCGACGCTCGAGCGCGCGTCACCATTGACTTTGCATTGAAAGCCGACGCAACGCATGATCCGGTCTGAACGCGGCATGAGTACTTCCCTGGGGAGGTGTTCCGGGCACGTCCCACCGGGAGGAGACCCCGGGGAAGACCCAGGACACGCTGGAGGGACTATGTCTCTCAGCTGGCCTGGGAACGCCTTAATGTCCGCCTGGACGAGCTGGAGGAAGTGTGTGGATAGGGAAGTCTGGGCGTCTCTGGATGGATTTATTTAACCAGCAAAGTCCCATTGAGATTAAGGACCTATTTTTCAAAGAAATCCTGAAAATGCGAGGGTAGATTAGTTGGTAGGTCGGTAAGTTGATAGAAAATAGAAAATGTAGTGAATGGTTTTACATTTTAGTGCTGTGTGATGTCTTGGGCACCACCGGTCACACATATACAAAAACTAAACGGGTGTTTCCCATTTACAAATATGCAATGCAATATGCAATCACAAGTACTAAGTCTACGTTAAAGAGAACCTTCCATCCAGAACCGCTAATGAGCCTTCTACCTGCTGCACCCCTCGCGTATACTGCATGTGTCAATATTCCCACACACCAACTCTCGGAGGGAAAGGTCGCCTCCCGCAGTCTGCTCTTGGATTCATTATGCCCTGCCACGGTGCGCTGAGGTGGGTACACTCCGGTTTGGCATCACCCGAGAGCAGTCCCCCTGGCCCTGGCGAGGCGGGGGAACAGATGGCTTGTTCCCACTTTTAACCAGGCACAAACCCAGCAGACATCATCGAACATAAGCTCAATTATTCATGGCTCCGGCAAAAAAAGAAAAACCCACAAAGAAGCCTGTGCGGTGCAGGTAAGGGCCTTAATGAGAAGAATCTTTTCAAATGCAGATGCAACTTTCTGGACGCGATTGTGGTGAGATGCCAGAAGAGGACAGAGATGACATAACTTTGTATCCTAAATTATGAAAATCTGAAATGCATTTGAGATTTGCTTGTTTTAATTTAAACAGAATTTTGCCAATGAAGGGGGAAAGACAGATGACATTTAGAAATATTCACATGACAATGACGCGACAACATGGCAATGCATCACATTCTACAATTACATTTGGAATAATTGTCGTCTTTTCACACAAATAAAAAGACGAATCACAGCAAATATTTGAGATTGCCTGTGAATAATAAAAGAGAAAAGATTCAAAACTGTCTACATGTTATCTATCTATCAATCTGTCCACCTGTCTGTCTATCTACCTGCTGTCTGTTAATCATCTACCTGTCTATCTATTTATCTTCCTACCTGCGTGCCTGTCTGTCTATCTATCTACCTGTCTGTCTGTCTGTCTGTCTATCTATCTATCCACCTGTCTGTCTGTCTGTCTATCCACCTGTCTGTCTATCTATCCACCTGTCTGTCTTTCTGTCTATCTATCTACCTGTCTGTCTGTCTGTTTGTCTGTCTGTCTATCCACCTGTCTGTCTATCTATCCACCTGTCTGTCTGTCTATCTAGCTATCTACCTGTCTGTCTGTCTGTCTATCCACCTGTCTTTCTGTCTGTCTGTCTGTCTATCTATCCACCTGTCTGTCTGTCTATCTATCCACCTGTCTGTCTTTCTGTCTGTCTGTCTATCCACCTGTCTGTCTATCTATCCACCTGTCTGTCTTTCTGTCTGTCTGTCTATCCATCTACCTGTCTGTCTGGTTTTCTGTATGTCTATCTATCTAGCTACATGTATGTCTATCTATCTACCTGTCTGTCTGTCTGTCCATATATCTATGCATTCACACTGTATTGGCTGCCGTAAACATCTTCCTTTTCTAAAACACGACTTTGTGGTCAGTGAGAACCTCGGCAGTAAGACAGAAGGCGAGAGGACCGAGATGGAGAGCAGGAGCTATGAAATATGCATGTGCACTTTACAATGTGGACTTTAGGACACCGGAGAATAATTCCCTTAATTGCGAGTGAGTTCTTACTTAAAGTGGGATTGCTCAGTGGATCCATTAATCTGACTGTGGCGGCGGCGTGAGGCGGAGGTCCTTGGCCCTCTCACCAGCGCAGCCATAATGTGATAATTGGGGGATAGTACGTGGATCCTCAGAGGAGCTCTCTTATTGCTGCAGGCCCACAGCTCATCACAGTCTGCCACAGCGGACACATCCCAGCTCTGACCCAGTCCTGACCACACAAACAGCAGCGAAGAGATTCAATGGGAATTAAACCAAGACCTATTGATTTCAGCTCTGCGCGCCTGAACTAAACTGTTTATTTGTAACAACGCCATAATGATCCCACCGCAGTTGAAGTAGGATGTAATGGAGTTTATAGTGTCTATCTATCTATCTATGTACGTATGTATATATCTATATATATATATATCTATGTATGTATGTATATATCTATATATATATATATCTATGTATGTATGTATATATCTATATATATATATATATCTATGTATGTATGTATATATCTATATATATATATATATCTATGTACAGTATGTATCTTTCTATGTATCTACAGTATCTATCTATTCAACACAACCACATAAAATGTCCCGGAATCTACTTCCGGGTTTTTCGCGATCGCTTTTTCTCGCATGAAAGCAGTATTTTTGTCATGAAAACCTTAACAGAAAATTCTGAAAACCTCTGTGCACGTGTATTAAGAGTGTATATGTATCATTTATTCTCGGATTAACACTTAAATGTGTTGATTGATTGGTATTTGCGTTTATTGAGCGTGGCAAGCTCCGGAGTGGCCAGAACTACTTGCGGAGTAATCTACACCTCTGAATTACAAGCAGAGGGTGCGTTGCCAAAGGGCAGCGGCCATTATTGTTTTAAGAGGTCCGTTATCAAGAAATAATGACCGGTAGAACGTTTTTAAATGATATTCAAATCAATGAAGCGTTCTCCTGCTGCTGTGAGGAGCCGTGTAAAAAAAATAAAGATTACTACTTACTTGCTTCTATCCATCCATTTCTTCCCCTTAATCCATTTCTGGGTCGGCGGGGTGGCAGTCAGAGCTGCACCCAGTCACAGAGCACCAGCCCCTCACTGATCCTCCTGCAGGTGCTGAGTCCACAGGAGCCTTGATATTTTAGCGGGGGCTTCAGGCAAAGTGGGGTTAAGTGTCTTGCCCAAGGACACAACAACAGCAGTCATCAGTGGGAGTCGTGAAGTAGGTCTTGAGGTGGGCTCGAACCCACGACCTTCAGGCTCAAAGGCCAATGAGCTACTGTCGCACTTACTTGCTTAGTATAAATTCAAATGTTTTTAATCTGAACATTGGGTGACCTTAGTCTATAGGAATACTCATACTTAAAAATGCAATTATTCATATCAAATACCGCTCCGCAGTCCTTTCCAATCTACTTCTTCTATTGTAAAACACTGTGGCTTTACCACAGAGTATTATTCACCAGCTGAGCGTCTAAAAAGTTCATGTCATCTGACCCCTGCTTAATTCATCCATTAGTTCCATTCATGAGCGCTTGCATACCTTATCCGCTGATTTAATAAACGCCATTCTGACACGTTTTGTGCTTCCAACCAGACAATAAAAGTTAGCCGCTTTTGAACCACAAGGTCACTCCGCGTTATTATGGAAGACATCGGTGTTAATTAAAAATTCCTATGATTTTACGTTGTGTAAAAAGACATCTCATATGTAATTTGGTTGAATAGAGTTCTGACCTAAACCCCTGAATGCCTAATGATTAATCCTTGTATTGAGGCGAAAACCTGCGTCCGGAATTGAAAGGCAGGGCTGAAAAACGTCAAAAACTGAAATCTTTTTACTTTTTTATTTTCACCATTTCAGACGAAGATGCGTCCAATGTCCAAATCATGTGCGCCTGGTGCCAGAAGGTCGGAGTCAAGCGGTACTCGCTCAGCATGGGCAGCGAGCTGAAGAACTTCTGCAGCGAAAAGTGCTTTGCTGCCTGCCGCCGGGCCTACTTCAAAAGGAACAAGGTAAGGAGACAAAATGCTTTTAATCACGGCACTTACAACACTTCAATGCAAATAAAGTGACAGTGCCCTGGTTATAATTACTTAAAAATCCCCTCTCCAAACCACTTGTAAATTGAATAGGGATCGAGCCACAAAAACACACTTGCCACAGTTGTTATTAAATTGTCATTTCTGTCAGATGACTGCGGTTAAACAATTCTCTCTCTCTTTTGTATCGAAGCTGGGATATATAAGGAATTACATTGTGAGTATGCTGTGTTTTACTGTCCTGCTTGTCTGTCCCGAAGTCGGCTTTTCATTCAACACATAATCACTTTTCGCACAAAGGACTAGACTGAGAGACAGGCTGCACTTAAAAGACCCTTTTTTCATATCAAAATGTATGTTTTTATGATTTCTCTGCACTTCACATCAAAGCATGGAAGCACTATTGAGTACACTGTCAGGCTGTGTATGTTGTCCCTCCCCATTGTTGTGTCGTTATTAGAAGCTGTGAAATAACTATACAACAAATCAAAGTCTACGCGCCGTGCCAGTCTCTTGACGAATGCAGAAGTTCATTCCAAGTCAAACAGATTACCCAAGCATTGCAGTAATCAAACATAACTCCCTGTTCATAGATGAAGGTGGTGTTGAATACTGTATACTGATCATACTGTATTAGCTCAAGTGCAGTTAGTAATCAGCAGGATGTTTCATTTATTGTGTCGTAGATTAACCTCACAGAGACGGGATCGTGGCCCACCGGAGCTCCTGGAAGTTTATTCAGTTTCAGTTGTTTCAGTTTTTTCAGACAGAACAAAGTCAGGAAATGGTTAAAATAGTCATTGTTAAAAATATGTACAGTGCCTTGCGAAAGTATTCGCAGGTGGACGCAAGACAAAATATCTGGCCCTCACAGTCACAAGGTCCCATTGTGTATCCATGTTATGACTCTGATATGTTCTGATTGTCTCTGGATGCGACTGATTGTTGTCCTATGGACAGACTCTCCCACCTCAGCTGTAGTTATCTGCAGTTCATCCAGAGTGATCATGGGCCTCTTGGCTGCATCTCTGATCAGTCTTCTCCTTGTTTGAGATGAAAGTTTGGAGGGACGGCCGGGTCTTGGTAGATTTGCAGTGGTCTGATACTCCTTCCATTTCAATATAATTGCTTGCACAGTGCTCCTTGAGATGTTTAAAGCTTGGGAAATCTTTTTGTATCCAAATCCAGCTTTAAACTTCTCCACAACAGTATCTGGGACCTGCCTGGTGTGTTCCTTTGTCTTCATGGTTCTCTCTGCGCTTTAAACAGAACCCTGAGACTATCAAAGAGCAGGTGCATTTATACGGAGACTTGATTACACACAGGTGCATTCTATTTATCATCATCAGTCATTTAGGACAACATTGGATCATTCAAAGATCACTAAACACTAAAAGTAAAGGGGCCGAATAATATTGCACGCCCCACTATTCAGTTTTTATTTGTTAAAAAAGTTTAAATTATCCAACAAATTTGATTCCACTTCACGATTGTGTCCCACTTGTTGTTGATTCATGACAAAAAATTAAAATTTTATATCTTTATGTTTGAAGCCTGAAATGTGGCAAAATGTTGAAAGGTTCAAGGGGACCGAATACTTTCGCAAGGCACTGTATGTAACTATTATTATGTGAAAATGTTTACGTCACACTCAGAAAGACAAATGTATCGCATCCAGAGACAATCAGAACATATCAGAGTCATAACATGGATACGCAATGGGACCTTGTGACTGTTAGGGCCAGATATTTTGTCTTGCGTCCACCTGCGTATAGGCCATAGCACTCTAATACCCGTTCTTGTATAGCTTCAAATGACCACAATCTCAACTACATTTTCATGTATTCTTTTTTTTTTTATATGCAATACAATGTAGTCATGAGAGGACAATTCGGGCGTTCTGCTCTCCCAAAATTCCATCCACTGAGCGGCGCTGTGATCAAAAAATGACACCGTTTGTTGCCCAGTTCACTTCCGGTTGATTTCATACAATGGCGAATATGGCTCACGAAAACAACAAACGATTGACAGTGCCTGAATTGCGTGAAAGGTTGAAGCGAAAGGGTATTTGCAGTGTGGGAAAACGAAAGGAGGAATTGTTGTTGCTAGTTCAACGAGCGGATGGTGTTTATGAAGATTTAGAAGAAGATGACAGCGAGCAGAGTGAACGAAAACGGCTGTGTGTGCGAGTGACAGATGGTAACAATGAGAATGAAGTTCAGCTAAGAGGGAAGAATGTGAATTGGACGGATGATTTGCGCGATATGCCACTAGTTAGAGACGGGAATGTATTTGCATACAGAAAATGACGAAAACACTCAACCATTTAGAGAAAATGCGCCGGGCAGAGAGATCCGGAAGTTGCGAAGGCAAGTGTTACCCATAATGCAACGCAAAATTCAGTCGCTCCCCCGCCCATCGGATGGAACTTTAGGAGAGCAGAACGCCCGAATTATCTCCCATCAAAACAATGCAAACACCATGAGATGACAAAAACATGCTAAGAATATAAATTAATAATATGCACGTGTCTTCTACGAACTGAAATATGATCTCAGCTTAATGATCATGAGCTATTTGCATGAAAAAATTATTTGCAAATCAGAGTTGCAGCCCTACAGCTTTACAGATCATTGTCTATGACACAGGGCTTTTAAACTACGACTGTGGATTTGTGTGTGCTAATAGAATTTTAAAAGTGTACTTCCTGATCAGGGTTCAGATGTCTTTTGAGTAGTTTCTAACCTTATGGCAAAGCGATTTGTTTTATACACGGAGATATAGTAGAAGAAGAAGCGGTTTATACACGGAGATATAGTAGAAGAAGAAGAGGTTTATACACGGAGATATAGTAGAAGAAGAAGCGCTGTCAAAATGCCATCTTTTTGTGCGGTGAACGCTTGTAGCAACCGCACAAATAGAGAGAAAGACCAGAGTTTGTTCATGTTCCAACTGTGTCTCATATAAAGGAGGACACTTTGAAAAAATCACTGGAATGAGGCGGGCGGGGTGGATCAAGGCTTTCCCAGATAAGCGCCCCCTGCAGGCCACCGCAATGAAACACAGCAATTTCTTCTGTTTTTCTTTCCAAAAAGGCCCGAAATCAAGACTCTTTTGAGAAATATTTGTTAGTACTCCCTTAGAATTGAGTGTCCCCCGATTAAGACTGTTCCAACAACCGTACACCGCACAGGAGGAGAGCCTTTGACTCCAAAACAGACTTTACATGGTTTTCAATGGGAGCAAAACTGAGGCTATATCCACACGAAGACAAAACGCGTATAATTTCAGAAACGTTTTCTGTAAACACGGAGTTAGCTCAGTAAATGTGTGCGTCCATATGGATGTAGTCAATACGCCTGAAAACGCTGTGAAACTATGCCAGACCTGTTGGTGGCGCTGTGACGCAATGACGGGATCAAGCCCAAACTTCCGTGACGGGAACTGGGCATGCGCAGAATTTTGTAAACAGACAACATGGCGAGTGTGCGAGCTGGTACTACATTAGTATGGACGGACGATGAGGTTGAACTGTTGCTTCGGGTCGCACTGGATTACAAAACCAACAAGCTACATTGTTGTTGTCATTATTTTCTGAGTGCGGTGCATGCGTGCTTTAACAAGAGGCGGGGCGATGACGTCTCAGATACATTACGGAGAGGCAGTAACCACGGAGCGGCATATACGGAGTTTTGAAATCTTTCCACTCTGGGACCTACTTTCAAAAATGTTCGTTTACACCCCCCCAAAACGCCGGCCTCGTATGGACGATACACTGGATTGATAAAGTATTTTTGCGTTTAGGCCTGAGCTTGACTTCGTGTGGACAGGGCCTGAGTGTCCCACCTCTGCTCATTGTGTGGAGTGTGTAAACAGTGTGTCTGCTCATGCGCCCCCTACTGGCCAGTTTAATGAAACCCAAGAATAGGAGACATTTCTAAAATTTTAGGCAGGACCTAGCCTGGCCTTATCCATCCGTACACTCCGTTCAATCATCATGTCCTGCATGTAACGTCTGGGTCTAGTCCCTGTGTTTGCGATTACAATAGGTTGAATTTCAACCAACCATTCAGAGAGCGCGGAAGGCGGGTGTTGTAGTTAGTTGTGGGTGATGTCAAGAGTTTGCGTCTAACAGGTAAGTCGTAGTTTGGCAGTGGCAAAAAATGCAATAGTAAAGTAATCCGGTCTGGTTCTATCAAGAAATTGAAGCCGGAGCAAGGGTAATGTTTAGCAAATGTAATCGCTGGAAAAAATTGTGGCGCTACTCCTCACGGGCTCCGTTAGCGGCAAAGGAGATGGCTAAAGCTAGGCTAAATGCTAAATGCTAACAACAGACTCCGGCGCATTACATACGTCACGGTAAACTCTGATCCAATCGTTTCAATCTGCAAAAGGAGTTAACCCCTCCCACCTGTTAACGGAGTCAATGGAGCAAATCCAGATCTTAGTACGAAATATAATTTGTACTATGGTGTGGTACGACCAGGCTAGGAAGGACCTGTCCTCTCCAATCTTTGAACAAAACTCTCTGGTCTTATTTGATGAGCCTGTATCACCAGAATGATAATGACAATTGGGAGGACCAATAGTGTTGATGATCCACCGGGAAGTAGAAAGATTACAGTATATATACCTTTAACCGAAGCTTAGTTTCTGGTCTGGGTCTCTATAAGTTAGGCCAGTGTCTCCCAAAGTGGGGTCCGCGGCCCCCTGGTGGGCCGCGAGGGTACTGCAGGGGGGCCGCGGGAGGTCATAAAAAAAAAAAAAAATAATAATAATTATTTAATGTTAAATTTATAATGTTTTGTTTGTAATATTAAAATATTTGTGTTCATTATTTGACTTGAATAATCCACTGTAATCATTTTTGTATTAAAATGTTTGTAGCAGAGGCTATTTCGCCAAAATAAAATAACCAGAAGAGCCTATTCTTAATGTTGTCTTCTTGGTTATTATTTTGGGGGGCCACGCAGACCCGTCAGATTTTTAAGGGGGCCTCGGTGTTACTGAGTTTGGGAATGGCTGAGTTAGGCTATATAACTTTCATGAACAATTCCTTTTTCGGGCCGACAGTCTTTGCATACTTTTGAGAAATAGCCCTGGAAGTTAGAGCAGATTGGACTGAGTGAGGGTGGTCTGCTCTTTTTAACTTTCCTGTCTGACAAAAGTTGATCTAAATATGTGACAAAGGCCAAAAATACATGCATGCGGAAACTAAAAATAGCATGAAATAGTTTTAGAGCCAGGAAATAAATAGATTTTAATTCATAGTTCCATTTTTGG